ATAAGTAATCGTGTTATAGTTTTGAAGTCAAATGGTAAATTCACGATGTGGAAACTACCCACTTCAATTCAAGCAAATAAAAATCCTATACAAGTTTTTAGAAAGATTTATTTAATAGCAACACAAAAACCAGAACTATCAATATCGAACGAATAATCAAAGAAATCAACGAAGCTTGGAATAATGCGGATGATAGAGTTCGTTTAGAATATGAAAAGCTTTATTTTCTCAATAAAACCCTGAACTGAATACTCGAATTGATTTTCTTACCAAGATTAATAACGTTCTTCCATATCGTATTCAACCTGATTTCCTCGCAAAACTCAAAAGAAATATAAAACTCGAAGCTCGTCGATTACAAAAGAAATTATCTAAAGAACATGAAGCCGTTAGATTAATGAATCTGAATAGTGGAAATAGTCTGGCAAATTATAGCAGGATTGTACAATTGCCACCAAAAGCAATTCAATTATGTATTTGTATGAGATCGAATAAATTCATGACTCTTTACATATTTTAGATTAGATGGATTTTCTAAACAGTTCGTCAATAAATTTAAATGAATTTTATAACAGGTGCTTGTTTTACCATATTCGAAAATATTTTCATTAATTTACTGTATCGGTATGTAAATTAATTATATTTCTATACCATTATTTTATACCGATATTTTTGATTTATGAATGGGAATTTATATTTAGTTTTGATTCAGTTATTTCTATTCAATATTTTTGATTTTTTAATGAAAAAAATTTTTTCATTACAAAAGGGTTTTATCTCTTTACTTGATTTAGTAACAATTCGGTATTGCAAAAATTGTTTTAAGTTAAATTTGTTTCGAGTTGAAAATCAATAAAAGTGAAACGTCTAAATTTTAAAATAATGTATTTTGATAATGAAATGAGCAAATTTAATAACTCAATAGTTTATAAATAATTTCAAAAGTCACAGAACATCAAAAAATTCTAATCATGTCAAGTATAACTTTTAGTATATAAAACCTTATGTACTTGTATATTATATACAATTTATTTTATTATTATGGATTTTTGTCTAAATACCTCTAATTGCATAATTTGTGAACTAAAATCATAAATCTTGAATTAATTATTTATGATGATATTATTAATATTTTAAATATTATAATAAGAATATCTTAAATACTTTAAGAGGATTGCAAAAATATCGAAAACAACAAAATTTAATTTAATTAACTAGCAATTTACCAATCTACTTAACAGAACTCTATTGAGTTTATACTAAATAGTTAGCTTGCTAAATTTATCTAACTCCTTAATTAGACTCGAATGTTTAATAACTAGTTTACCAAATTTATCCTGATACAAAAATTTTATAAAATTTTATTTGATAAAATCAGATATAAAGAAATCTGTAGATTCATCTTTATTTGTTCAAAAATAAAAATTCTGGAGAATACAGTTTGGAAATATGGCTATTTACTAGCTAGCAAATGACAAGATTTTTTCAAAAAATTAATGCACAAAATGATTTAATAGTAATTAATTATGCTTACTTTAAACTTCAATAAATAATTATCAAAATTAGAAATATCATCATAAAAGTAAAAGAAAATAAAAAAACTTAATTTCATATATTACATACAATACAACCTTTTGTGAAAATAACTGAACAAAGTATCAGAACATAATGGATATATCTTATATAAGTTCAGATATTTTTAATAATTTTATTCTCGTAAATCTCTTAAACTTTATTTTTGATAATATTGCCATCAGAAACTATTCTTACCATTTATGAAAAACTTTTTGATAGAAAGTAGGAACCTAATATAATAAATTCTATTTAATCTGAAGGAATAATAATTCAAGATTAAATCCAGCTCCTTAATTTGCATTTTCAGGAAATTTACCATTAGTTAAATATTTTTCACTTCTGACACTACAACACTGGTCTAAATAGTCCAAATCAGCTATAAATCAGATGGCCGAATTTAGATCAATTTTGGTATTATTTTCAGCAGGTTTGTTATTTTCTGATCGGCACAATATACGCTGATCGATCCAAACAGATAATACAAATTGACGCCAATCGATAAAACCATTCGGTATAAATTCAGAATATAAATTCCATTATAAATCGGCCTCAATTTAGCCAAATCGATGTCAATCAACTCAATCCAATATAACCATTCGATATCAATGCAGAATATAAATTTCATCATAAATCGGCTTCAATTTGTCCAAATCGACGTCAATCAACTCAATCCAATATAACCATTTAACATCAATTCAGAATATAAATTCTATCATAAATCAGCTTCAATTCGATCAAATAAGTATTATAAAAAATCAGCCAATAGCGATATATTATTTATTAGCAAATATTTAATAATAAAAGCTAATACAAAAACCAATTTATTCTATATTAAAAAAAATAATGATAAATGGTAAAAAAAAATCGTCTCAAAATCCCCTGAAATCATCCCAAATATCTATATAATATAATAATAAATGATAAAAAAAATCGTCACATTTTCCTCCCAAAAATCCTCTGCAATTAATTTATTCTTCCAGATTTTCGTCATTACTTTCTGCTGCAAAAGAAACTTCCCTTTGAACTTCTTCTACTTCTTCGCTTTTCGTAATTAGCCCTTCTTCTACACTGACTCCTGTATCTTCTTCTGTACCATAAATGACATTTGACAATTAGTCATTTAGGAGAATTCAGGGAATGCGGCCAGTTGTATTGCTGCAATTCGTCGTTATATTTTCATTTTCTTTGAATTTGAGACGAAGTTGCAACAATTGGATTGAATACATTTCTTAAAAGATTTTTAAGCTAAAAGAAGAAAAGTAGAAAGAATGTTAGTATAAACATATTAAATAAAAATTAAAAAAATGTAAATTAAAAAAA